AAATTCTCAAACAACACAAAAATTAATTGATGCCCTTCCAGACTCCTTCTGCCTACCCAAGGACGTCAGAGGACAAAAATCAGTTAACCACTTAACTGAGGAACTCAATTTAACCTTGCGCAATACCCTAGATGCAGTTGCACCCCTAAAAAACGAAAAACATTTGTCATAAGAAACTAGCTCCCTGGTATACAGAAAATACCCGAGCTTTGAAGCAAGCTTCCAGGAAATTGGAACGGAAATGGCGCCACACCAAACTGGAAGTCTTCCGACTAGCTTGGAAAGACAGTACCGTGCAGTACCGAAGAGCCCTCACTGCTGCTCGATCATCCTACTTTTCCAACTTAATCGAGGAAAATAAGAACAATCCAAAATTTCTTTTTGATACTGTTGCAAAGCTAACTAAAAAGCAGCATTCCCCAAGAGAGGATGGCTTTCACTTCAGCAGTGATAAATTCATGAACTTCTTTGAGGAAAAGATCATGACCATTAGAAAGCAAATTACGGACTCCTCTTTGAATCTGCGTATTCCTCCAGGGCTTAGCTGTCCTGGATCTGCACAGCTCTGCGAGGGCCTGGGATCGGGAGAGACACTTAAGTGTTTTAGTACTATATCTCTTGACACAATGATGAAAATAATCATGGCCTCTAAACCTTCAAGCTGCATACTGGATCCTATTCCTACTAAACTGCTGAAGGAGCTGCTTCCTGTGCTTGGCCCTCCTATGTTGAACATAATAAACAGCTCTCTATCCACCGGATGTGTACCAAACTCACTAAAAGTGGCAGTGATAAACCTCTCTTGAAAAAGCCAAACCTTGACCCGGAAAATATAAAAAACTATCGGCCTATATCGAATCTTCCATTCCTCTCAAAAATTTTAGAAAAAGCTGTTGCGCAGCAACTCACTGCCTTTCTGAAGACAAACAATGTATACGAAATGCTTCAGTCTGGTTTTAGACCCCATCATAGCACTGAGACTGCACTTGTGAAGGTGGTAAATGACCTTTTAATGGCGTCAGACCGAGGCTCTGCATCTGTCCTCGTGCTACTAGACCTTAGTGCTGCCTTTGACACCATCGATCACCACATTCTTTTGGAGAGACTGGAAACCCAAATTGGTCTACACGGACAAGTTCTGGCCTGGTTTAGATCCTACCTGTCGGAAAGATATCAGTTTGTCTCTGTGAATGGTCTGTCCTCCGACAAATCAACTGTACATTTCGGTGTTCCTCAAGGTTCCGTTTTAGGACCACTATTGTTTTCACTATATATTTTACCTCTTGGGGATGTTATTCGAAAACATAATGTTAACTTTCACTGCTATGCGGATGACACACAGCTGTACATTTCAATGAAACATGGTGAAGCCCCAAAATTGCCCTCGCTAGAAGCCTGTGTTTTCAGACATAAGGAAGTGGATGGCTGAAAACTTTTTACTTTTAAACTCGGACAAAACAGAGATGCTTGTTCTAGGTCCCAAGAAACAAAGAGATCTTCTGTTAAATCTGACAATTCATCTTGATGGTTGTAAAGTCGTCTCAAATAAAACTGTGAAGGACCTCGGCGTTACTCTTGACCCTGATCTCTCTTTTGACGAACATATCAAGACTGTTTCAAGGACAGCTTTTTTCCATCTACGTAACATTGCAAAAATCAGAAATTTTCTGTCCAAAAATGATGCAGAAAAATTAATCCATGCATTTGTTACTTCTAGGTTAGACTACTGCAATGCTCTATTTTCCGGCTACCCGGATAAAGCACTAAATAAACTTCAGTTAGTGCTAAATACGGCTGCTAGAATCCTGACTAGAACCAAGAAATTTGATCATATTACTCCAGTGCTAGCTTCCCTACACTGGCTTCCTGTTAAGGCAAGGGCTGATTTCAAGGTTTTTACTGTTAACCTATAAAGCGTTACATGGGCTTGCTCCTACCTATCTTTCCGAGTTGGTCCTGCCGTACATACCAATACGTACGCTACGGTCACAAGACGCAGGCCTCCTAATTGTCCCTAGAATTTCTAAGCAAACAGCGGGAGGCAGGGCTTTCTCCTATAGATCTCCATTTTTATGGAACAGTCTGCCTACCCATGTGAGAGACGCAGACTCGGTCTCAACCTTTAAGTCTTTACTGAAGACTTATCTCTTCAGTAGGTCATATGATTGAGTGTAGTCTGGCCCAGGAGTGTGAAGGTGAACGGAAAGGCTGGAGCAACGAACAGCCCTTGCTGTCTCTGCCAGGCCGGTTCCCCTCTCCACTGGGGTTCTCTGCCTCTAACCCTGTTGCAGGGGCTGAGTCACTGGCTTGCTGGTGCTCTTTCATGCCGTCCCTGGGAGGGGTGCGTCACTTGAGTGGGTTGAGTTACTGACGTGATCTTCCTGTCTGGGTTGGCGCCCCCCCCTTGGTTTGTGCTGTGGTGGAGACCTCTGTGGGCTATACTCGGCCTTGTCTCAGGATTGTAAGTTGGTGGTTGGGGATATCCCTCTAGTGGTGCGGGGGCTGTGCTTTGGCGGAGTGGGTGGGGTTATATCCTTCCTGTTTGGCCCTGTCCGGGGGTTTCTTCGGATGGGGCCACAGTGTCTCCGGACCGCTCCTGTCTCAGCCTCCAGTATTTATGCTGCAGTAGTTTATGTGTCGGGGGGCTGGGGTTAGTTGGTTATACCTGGAGTACTTCTCCTGTCTTATCCAGTGTCCTGTGTGAATTTAAGTATGCTCTCTCTAATTCTCTCGTTCTCTCTTTCTCTCTGAGAACCTGAGCCCTAGGACCATACGTCAGGACTACCGGGCATGATGACACCTTGCTGTCCCCAGTCCGCCTGGCCTTGCTGCTATTCCAGTTTCAACTGTTCTGCCTGCGGCTACGAAACCCCTACCTGTCCCAGACCTGCTGTTTTCAACTCTTAATGATCGGCTATGAAAAGCCAACTGAGAGACCTGAGCCCTAGGACCATACGTCGGGACTACCGGCCGTGGTGACTCCTTGCTGTCCCCAGTCCGCCTGGCCTTGCTGCTATTCCAGTTTCAACTGTTCTGCCTGCGGTTATGGAACCCCTACCTGTCCCAGACCTGCTGTTTTCAACTCTTAATGATCGGCTATGAAAAGCCAACTGAGATTTATTCCTGATTATTATTTGACCATGCTTGTCACTTATGAACATTTTTGAACATCTTGGCATGGTTCTGTTATAATCTCCACCCGGCACAGCCAGAAGAGGACTGGCCACCCCTCATAGCCTGGTTCCTCTCTAGGTTTCTTCCTAGGTTTTCGCCTTTCTAGGGAGTTTTTCCTAGCCACCGTGCTTCTACACCTGCATTACTAGCTGTTTGGGGTTTTAGGCTGGGTTTCTGTACAGCACTTCGAGATATTAGCTGATGTAAGAAGGGCTATATAAAATAAAATTGATTGATTGAATTGATACTAGTCTATAGTGATGACTGTATATAACCATCAACTCCCTCTACTAGTCTATAGTGATGACCATCAACTCCCTCTACTAGTCTATAGTGATGACTGTATATATACCATCAACTCCCTCTACTAGTCTATAGTGATGACTGTATATATACCATCAACTCCCTCTACTAGTCTATAGTGATGACTGTATATATACCATCAACTCCCTCTGCTAGTCTATAGTGATGACTGTATATACACCATCAACTCCCTCTACTAGTCTATAGTGATGACTGTATATATACCATCAACTCCCTCTACTAGTCTATAGTGATGACTGTATATATACCATCAACTCCCTCTGCTAGTCTATAGTGATGACTGTATATAACCATCAACTCCCTCTACTAGTCTATAGTGATGACCATCAACTCCCTCTACTAGTCTATAGTGATGACTGTATATATACCATCAACTCCCTCTACTAGTCTATAGTGATGACTGTATATATACCATCAACTCCCTCTACTAGTCTATAGTGATGACTGTATATATACCATCAACTCCCTCTACTAGTCTATAGTGATGACCATCAACTCCCTCTACTAGTCTATAGTGATGACTGTATATACCATCAACTCCCTCTACTAGTCTATAGTGATGACTGTATATATACCATCAACTCCCTCTACTAGTCTATAGTGATGACTGTATATATACCATCAACTCCCTCGACTAGTCTATAGTGATGACTATATATACCATCAACTCCCTCCACTAGTCTATAGTGATGACCATCAACTCCCTCTACTAGTCTATAGTGATGACTGTATATACCATCAACTCCCTCTACTAGTCTATAGTGATGACTGTATATATACCATCAACTCCCTCTACTAGTCTATAGTGATGACTATATATACCATCAACTCCCTCGACTAGTCTATAGTGATGACTGTATATATACCATCAACTCCCTCTACTAGTCTATAGTGATGACCATCAACTCCCTCTACTAGTCTATAGTGATGACTGTATATATACCATCAACTCCCTCTACTAGTCTATAGTGATGACTGTATATATACCATCAACTCCCTCGACTAGTCTATAGTGATGACTATATATACCATCAACTCCCTCTACTAGTCTATAGTGATGACTGTATATATACCATCAACTCCCTCTGCTAGTCTATAGTGATGACTGTATATAACCATCAACTCTCTCTACTAGTCTATAGTGATGACTGTATATATACCATCAACTCCCTCTACTAGTCTATAGTGATGACTATATATACCATCAACTCCCTCTACTAGTCTATAGTGATGACTGTATATATACATCAACTCCCTCTACTAGTCTATAGTGATGACTGTATATATACATCAACTCCCTCTACTAGTCTATAGTGATGACCATCAACTCCCTCTACTAGTCTATAATGATGACCATCAACTCCCTCTACTAGTCTATAGTGATGACTGCGTATGTACCATCAGAGACCAACTAAGGCATAAAAAACACACCTGCTCCACATTGACTGTCTGTCCTAGAAACATGGAGACAATTAGCCTGAAGACTGACTGGGTGTGGAGGCATGGCCATGGGGAGGTCCTTTACAGACCCCAGAGACAACAGACTGACAGGCATTCAGAGAGACAGAGAGACAGACAGACAGGCAGACAGACAGACAGACAGACAGACAGGCAGACAGGCAGACAGACAGACAGACAGACAGACAGACAGACAGGCAGACATACAGACAGACAGACAGACAGACAGACAGACAGACAGACAGACAGACAGACAGGCAGGCAGGCAGGCAGGCAGGCAGACAGGCAGACAGACAGACAGACAGACAGACAGGCAGACATACAGACAGACAGGCAGACAGACAGACAGACAGACAGACAGACAGACAGGCAGACAGACAGACAGACAGGCAGACAGACAGACAGACAGACAGGCAGACAGACAGACAGACAGACAGACAGGCAGACAGGCAGACAGACACTCACTCACTCTCAGGGAGGCAACTTGTTTAGAATTGGAGATGGGGAAAATAACGTTCTGTCTAGACAGTTACTTTTTGTTTAGGTGAGTTCTATCTGGACTCAGAAGGACCCTTTAAAGCCTTTCCTTAAAGGTAGACTCAGAGGTCCATGGGTAGTAATTCTGTGTGGAGTCATTCTATGATTCACTACTGTGGTATGGGTTGAGTACCTCTGAGGGTTGAGGTGGCGGTCATAAAAACAGACATCCAGGAGTCTTAGCCTTTATCCTGCAGGATTCCATTCCACTGGTGGAAGCGACAAGTCATTTCACATTGCATACATTAAAAACCCTTTCAATGACTGGACGAATTCATTTAGTATTTTTACTACAGTGAAACTAATGTCATATACATGTAGTGACATCTGCAGGTTTAAATAATATCCCCTTTCATGATGTTGTTGACTTATGAAATGTATTTTAATACATTGGTCAACAGCAGTACAGGTAATAGCCCAGCTGTTCACGGGTAGAGTAGACACATTCCATCACCAAGATGTGTGGAGCAGCAATGGGAAAATAATCCGATCAACTCAAATCTAGATGTGTATCATATACTCTAGCAATCAATCATTTTGTGAAAACATTATTTGACACTTTTCAAGACAAAACAGACATTTTCCTTTTCTATTTACACGGGAAACGACTGTTCGGTCTGGGCTGGGGATAAGTGATGGATAAACTCCTCATCAGTAGGCGGTGCTACCGTAAATATATTCAGAAGCGTTTCAAGGATATTACATAAAGTTCTTATCCATAAATAATATTCACACGTTAACATACTGACGATGGAACTTGAAGACAGTAGCCTTTAGGTAAATGTATGAATCATTACTTTTCCAAATTTGGTCCCGGATTATTCTAAAACAATGCGGGAAAAAACGTTTACTTGAACACGACACACTCTATTATTTTTTATTTTAAGAATAGTCCGGGTGATTAAGTTCATGCCCGCAGACAGTTACGCATTGAATGTGCATTCCAAGACTTGTTTAACTCTAAAAACTCCGTGGCTCAAAGTTCTGTGGCGTTAGAGAAGTCCGACTGCAATTTTTGTACTAACGCCTCCGGTTCCGTGCGTAATGGTGCGGGACTGTGCCGCAGATGTTTGTGTGCAGGAATGTTTTTTTTTTTTTTTTTACTTCTAAGGTTGGGGTTAGGGTTGAGTTTTATACGAATTAGTATGTGTAGGCCACAATGACTGTACATATAAAGGTGTAGGCCAACCTCTCGTCTTCTAAACAACCATAAGGCATCTAAACAGTTCCAGGCTCCGGCTGTGAGTTAGTTTATCTGTACCTCCCTGAACTCTCCGATTAGCCGGCCAGGCAGCTGTCGTCATCAGCAGCACCCCCGATTTTTTCCCCTTTTCTAAATGGATGGGGGCTGTCCTGCTTCGTGCACAGTTCAACGGAAGCCAAAAGATTGGAACAACTTGTGAATTCACCCGTCAGTTTGGTTGACGTTTGCGGCAACGTTTAGAAGAATGCTCGACGGCGGCTTCGCTGAAGAAGTTAAAGATTGAGAAGTGTTTTTCTTTCTCATAAAACTGTGCGGCGTTCAGGACTGTAGCAGGGAGAGGAGGGAGAGGGAACAGCGGTTGCCTACCACAACGTTTACAATAGAAAGGAAACTTCAACTCCCGTTAGAGTGAACTGAAGTGAAGTGGCAGCTCGTAATTCCACAATGGCTTTCGCTGTGGATTGTATATATTTATTGATGTACTGTTCTCTCGGCTTGATATTTTTAGATCACAAACATACTGTGAAATCACATGGTAAGTTCTTATGATTTTACACTTTTCTCTCAACTCTTCTGTATTCAACTTTGAAGTAGCCTATTGTGGATTTTGAGGAGAGGGCTATAAAACGTATGGCATACTGTATTTGAAGTTATATAACTCCCTGGGTTTGATAGAGACTGAGGTCTTACTGATGAAAGTGTCAAGAAATGCCACAAACTAATCCAATAATTTAGTTGTACCTGAAAGGGTTTAGCCAAACTAAACTAAACCTTTAGTAATAATAATAAGCCATTTAGCAGACGCTTTTTCCAAAGCGACTTACAGTCATGTGTGCATACATTTTTACGTATGGGTGGTCCCGGGGATCGAACCCACTACCCTTGCGTTACAAGCGCCATGCTCTACCAATTGAGCTACAGAGGACTTTAGTCATGCAACTGGCTGGCTCATAACCCATAGACTAAACTAGAGACACATTATCCTATGTCTCCACTGTTCAGAAGTTCAGTATCATCTTCAATGTTCATTAACCATTTGTGAGTAGGGCAATTATCCTTTAACTAGCATGCATCTTTAACTCTTATCCACACCAGAGTATAATAATTAAAGTATGCTATATTCTATTCAGTGCCTTTCACCAAGTTTCCATAAGTTCCCAAATTTCCATAAATTCCCAAGTTCCCATACGTTCCTGTGCATAGGTTGCTACACTCTTAGAAAAAAATGTGCTATCTATAACCTAAAACGGTTGTTCGGCTGTTCCCATAAGATAACCCTTTTAAGAACCCGTTTTGATTCCAGGTAGAACCCTTTTGGGTTCCATGTAAAAAACATATATGGAACCCAAAAGGGTTCTACCTGGAACCCAAAAGAGTTCTACCTGGAACCCAAAAGAGTTCTACCTGGAACCCAACAAGGGTTATCCTATGGGAACAGCCTAAGAACCCTTTTGAGACCCTATTTTTCTAAGAGGTTTAATTAGGACTGTCCAGTTGTCTCTGTTTCTCTGACGTTATTCTTGACTATTTGTCTCATCAGAACATCTCTCTGGAAAGTTAAGTGAATATGGTCTTATCGTGCCATTCAGCACAGACTCCCACGGCCGCTATATCTCCCACGTGGTCTCAGCCTCAGGAGCCTCAGCCTCAGCTGCAACGGGAGATACTGAAAGTGAAGGTGCTGATGCAGGTGGTGCTGCTGGTGTTCCCTCGCCCCCTGGCCCGGGTAAGAGACGTGTGGTCCGTAGCGCCCCCGAGACTCCCTCTGTCACCTCTGGCGCAGGCCAACACCTGTTTTTCAACGTCACTGTGTTTGGGAAAGAGTTGCACCTTCGCCTCAAAGCAAACAGGAGGCTGGTGGCTCCGGGGGCATTTGTGGAATGGCAGGAGGACTTCGAGGAAAAGGCTAAGGAGCGTATCCATGGGGACTGTGTTTTCACTGGAGACGTATCCGACATGCCAGAGGCTACTGTTGCCATGAGCAACTGTGATGGACTGGTAAGTCAATACCCAAACCCAGCCTCCCTGAATTCCAACAATACAATGGAAATGAGTTAGCACACACACACTCACATACACACACACACATACACACTCACACACACTCACACACACGCACACACACACTCACATACACACACACACACACACATACACACACACACACACACACACACATCACACACACACGTACACACATACACACACACACACACACACACACACACACACACACACCACACTCACACTCACACTCACCACACACACACACACACACACACACACACACACACACACACACACACACACACACACACACACACTCACACTCACACTCACACACACACATACACACACACACATGCATACACACACACACACATATACACACACATACACACACACCCACCCACACACACACACACACACACACATACACACACACCACACACACACACACACACCATACTACTCTATACTTTACTGTACTATCAGCTGGGTCCCAGATCTGTTTCTGGATTGGAAATGACAAAATAACCAAATGAGTTGGCAAGAAAGCACAAACAGATCTGGGACCAGGCTGCTGTACACTGTAAACCCCAAGGCATTTCTTGCTAAAATACTACTAGTAAGTTGAACTCAAAGTCAATGAAAAGTCTTTGTTACTTAAAATGTTTATGTGGTACTGACTCAAAACTAAATGAGAAGTCACATCAACATTTCTTTTTGAAGAGTTATGATAACAAATTCACTTTTTTCACCATGCTTAATATCTGTGTTTTTGCATGTACATTGAGTGATTGATTGATTCATCTTATGCTACACAAAGATAAATAACATACATTTTTCTAAACTAATCCAATCATTTAGTTAGATATTTTGCACCCGTTACTGAAATGGTTGTTCCAGTTTAAATGGCTTAGGTAGTCTCCTCACACTGTTCCTATCCCTGGCAGTCACTATGAATGCAGGTTGCGGGTGAATAAAAATCAACTGTTGGATATCCTAACTCTGGCTGGATTCCAATAGGGATTACACATCACTTAGCAAGCCAGCATAATGTGACTTGCAGGTAGGATTGCAAAATTCTGCTAAATTTCCCTGGTTTTCCAGAAATCCTGGTTGGAAGATTCCTGGAAATCCTTCAACCAGGATGTTTTGAAAATCTGGGAATTTTTGGAAAGTAACTGGAATTTTGCAACCCTACTTGCAGGCCTGATGTGGCCTGTAAACCATGAGTTTGAGGCCACTGCATTAGGGTAAAGTTATGCCTCAAAATAAGGTCTTATGAGATATGTAATGTATTGTCATAAAGAGTTTAATTATAATGATTACATTCGCCTAGGAACTCACTTGGTGAAGGCCACAGGACTGAAAATGAAGGAATTCAACAACCATGTCTCAGTCAGTAACAAACACAGTCATGGGTGGTAACTCTACAATTCACTCGAAAAGGCAAGGCACACTGGGAAATTATATTGGAGGCGTGGCTTAGTGGGGGGTGTTACTCAATATGTTCAAGCTGATACAACTCAAATCTGGACCCCCTACAGGGTCACAGTGACTCTATCCGTTTGACCTCTTTAAGTAACTGTACTGATATATATTAAAGGGATACTTGGGGATTTTGGCAATGAGGTCATTTATCCGCTTCCCCAGAGTCAGATGAACTCGTGGATAACATTTGTATGTCTCTGTGTGCAGTTTGAAGGAAGTAAGCAGAGCTAGACTTCCATTCATTGCGCTAACGCCAGTTAGCATTGGCTCGCAAAACCATCTCTAACTTCCTTCATACTGGATGCGGAGACATAAAAAATGGTATCCATGAGTTCGTCTGACTCATTGCCAAAATCCCGAAGTGTCCCTTTAAGTGCAAATGGTTTCCTCAAAACGTTTTGAGTAATGACAGCACAATGGGGTGTACAGTGTAGCATTTCCACTGTACGGAATAACTTGAACAAATAACAATAACTTTAACTTGAAGTAAACAGCAGGTGGGCATGATGCTTGTCCGTTGCTTTGGTATGGAACCCTGTTAACTATAGAGAACTCTGTGCAGTGTACCGTAGCCTACTCAGCCTACAGCCTTACACTGTTGCTTCCACACAATGGTGACTGTTGAGGGAATCGTTTCTGTTAAGCTGTCCAGACATTACTTTATCTGTTGAGGGAATAGTTTCTGTTAAGCTGCCCAGACGTTACTTTATCTGTTGAGGGAATAGTTTATGTTAAGCTGTCCAGACATTACTTTATCTGTTGAGGGAATAGTTTCTGTTAAGCTGTCCAGACATTACTTTATCTGTTGAGGGAATAGTTTCTGTTAAGCTGCCCAGACGTTACTTTATCTGTTGAGGGAATAGTTTCTGTTAAGCTGCCCAGACATTACTTTATCTGTTGAGGGAATCGTTTCTGTTAAGCTGCCCAGACGTTACTTTATCTGTTGAGGGAATAGTTTCTGTTAAGCTGCCCAGACGTTACTTTATCTGTTGAGGGAATAGTTTCTGTTAAGCTGCCCAGACGTTACTTTATCTGTTGAGGGAATAGTTTCTGTTAAGCTGCCCAGACATTACTTTATCTGTTGAGGGAATAGTTTCTGTTAAGCTGTCCAGACATTACTTTATCTGTTGAGGGAATAGTTTCTGTTAAGCTGCCCAGACGTTACTTTATCTGTTGAGGGAATAGTTTCTGTTAAGCTGCCCAGACGTTACTTTATCTGTTGAGGGAATAGTTTCTGTTAAGCTGCCCAGACATTACTTTATCTGTTGAGGGAATAGTTTCTGTTAAGCTGCCCAGACGTTACTTTATCTGTTGAGGGAATAGTTTCTGTTAAGCTGTCCAGACATTACTTTATCTGTTGAGGGAATAGTTTCTGTTAAGCTGTCCAGACATTACTTTATCTGTTGAGGGAATAGTTTCTGTTAAGCTGCCCAGACGTTACTTTATCTGTTGAGGGAATCGTTTCTGTTAAGCTGCCCAGACATTACTTTATCTGTTGAGGGAATAGTTTCTGTTAAGCTGCCCAGACGTTACTTTATCTGTTGAGGGAATAGTTTCTGTTAAGCTGTCCAGACATTACTTTATCTGTTGAGGGAATAGTTTCTGTTAAGCTGCCCAGACGTTACTTTATCTGTTGAGGGAATCGTTTCTGTTAAGCTGCCCAGACATTACTTTATCTGTTGAGGGAATAGTTACTGTTAAGCTGTCCAGACATTACTTTATCTGTTGAGGGAATAGTTTCTGTTAAGCTGCCCAGACATTACTTTATCTTTTGAGGGAATAGTTTCTGTTAAGCTGCCCAGACATTACTTTATCTGTTGAGGGAATAGTTTCTGTTAAGCTGCCCAGACATTACTTTATCTGTTGAGGGAATAGTTTCTGTTAAGCTGTCCAGACATTACTTTATCTGTTGAGGGAATAGTTTCTGTTAAGCTGCCCAGACATTACTTTATCTGTTGAGGGAATAGTTTCTGTTAAGCTGCCCAGACATTACTTTATCTGTTGAGGGAATAGTTTCTGTTAAGCTGCCCAGACATTACTTTATCTGTTGAGGGAATAGTTTCTGTTAAGCTGCCCAGACGTTACTTTATCTGTTGAGGGAATAGTTACTGTTAAGCTGTCCAGACATTACTTTATCTGTTGAGGGAATCGTTACTGTTAAGCTGTCCAGACATTACTTTATCTGTTGAGGGAATAGTTACTGTTAAGCTGTCCAGACATTACTTTATCTGTTGAGGGAATAGTTTCTGTTAAGCTGTCCAGACGTTACTTTATCTGTTGAGGGAATAGTTTCTGTTAAGCTGCCCAGACGTTACTTTATCTGTTGAGGGAATAGTTTCTGTTAAGCTGCCCAGACGTTACTTTATCTGTTGAGGGAATAGTTTCTGTTAAGCTGCCCAGACATTACTTTATCTGTTGAGGGAATCGTTTCTGTTAAGCTGTCCAGACATTACTTTATCTGTTGAGGGAATAGTTTCTGTTAAGCTGTCCAGACATTACTTTATCTGTTGAGGGAATAGTTTCTGTTAAGCTGCCCAGACGTTACTTTATCTGTTGAGGGAATAGTTTCTGTTAAGCTGCCCAGACATTACTTTATCTGTTGAGGGAATCGTTTCTGTTAAGCTGTCCAGACATTACTTTATCTGTTGAGGGAATAGTTTCTGTTAAGCTGCCCAGACATTACTTTATCTGTTGAGGGAATAGTTTCTGTTAAGCTGCCCAGACATTACTTTATCTGTTGAGGGAATAGTTTCTGTTAAGCTGCCCAGACATTACTTTATCTGTTGAGGGAATAGTTTCTGTTAAGCTGCCCAGACATTACTTTATCTGTTGAGGGAATAGTTTCTGTTAAGCTGCCCAGACATTACTTTATCTGTTGAGGGAATAGTTTCTGTTAAGCTGCCCAGACATTACTTTATCTGTTGAGGGAATAGTTACTGTTAAGCTGCCCAGACATTACTTTATCTGTTGAGGGAATAGTTTCTGTTAAGCTGCCCAGACATTACTTTATCTGTTGAGGGAATAGTTACTGTTAAGCTGCCCAGACATTACTTTATCTGTTGAGGGAATAGTTTCTGTTAAGCTGCCCAGACATTACTTTATCTGTTGAGGGAATAGTTTCTGTTAAGCTGTCCAGACATTACTTTATCTGTTGAGGGAATAGTTTCTGTTAAGCTGCCCAGACATTACTTTATCTGTTGAGGGAATAGTTTCTGTTAAGCTGCCCAGACGTTACTTTATCTGTTGAGGGAATAGTTTCTGTTAAGCTGTCCAGACATTACTTTATCTGTTGAGGGAATAGTTTCTGTTAAGCTGCCCAGACGTTACTTTATCTGTTGAGGGAATAGTTTCTGTTAAGCTGTCCAGACATTACTTTATCTGTTGAGGGAATAGTTTCTGTTAAGCTGCCCAGACATTACTTTATCTGTTGAGGGAATAGTTTCTGTTAAGCTGCCCAGACATTACTTTATCTGTTGAGGGAATCGTTTCTGTTAAGCTGT